CCCATCACAATCAACTGCCTCCCCTGTAACTGTGAGGTGGCTCCTTTATGAAACTTACTTCCTGGGATTAACTAAAAACTGAGTGAATTTCCTGCTCTCCCACATACATTTATTATGGAACAATTCCTGCAACAAGGTTTGCCTGGCACCAAAGTGGTTATCTTTTGAGTACCAGTTTAATAACTTTTGTTCATATGTTTACATTAAATATTCTTTATATTATGTCCCAAAATTTATGTTCATTATTACAATATCCCTGCAAGCATTCTGGGGACCATTGGCCATTTCTCAGTATACAAAAGTAATCAATGAATCAATGAATCTGATATTAGAGTGACTGTTATGAATATTCCCTACTTAAGCAATGGACTGTGTAAGATAACATTGCTCATTTGGTACATATAAGAACAAACATTTTAGTCCAATTCTCTAGTATGAAAAATGAAATTAAAATTCATTTATTGCAAAGTTGTGTTTTTCATGTACTAACATGAGAAGGAACATGTTTCTCCTGACCAAGGGTCCACCTGGACTAGCATTCAGTTCATACATTGACCACCCACAGCCTTTGGAAAACCCACAACCAGGACTGAATACAACAACAACTTCCTGCCCATATTCCACTGCATCTGGAGTATATAGGCATTCTGTTTCTGTTTAGTTGCAAAGTCATGTCTGACCCATCACGACCCCATGGACAACATTCCCCTGGGTTCTCCTGCCCTCCACCATAGTGAAGTCAATGGAGCAGAAACAGAGGTTTTTCTGAAACTCCTTAGTTTCTGCGTGATCCAACATATGTTGCCAATATGATCTCTAATTCCTCTGCCTCTTCAAAATCCTCCCATTCCTTCTGTTAGTTCTCAGTCCACATACTGCTGAAACTTACCTTGTAGGATTTTGAGCATAACTTTCTAGCTTGTGAAACAAGTGCAATGGTATGGTAGTTTGAACATTCTTTAGCATTGTGCTTCTTTGGGATTGGAATGTAAACTGACCTTTTCCAATCCTGTGGCTGCTATTGAATTTTCCAAATTTGCTGGCATATTGAGTGTAGTACTTTAACTGCAGTTTCTTTTAGGATTTTGAATAACTCAGCTGGAATATCATCTCCTCCACTAGTTTTATCATTGACCAGACTTCCTAAGGCCCATTTGACCTCATACTTCAGGATGTCTGGCTTAAGGTCAGTGACCACACCTTTGTGGTTGTACAGGGCAAATGATGGAGAGCTGGTAGAAAGGGATATTCTCACTTCTTTATTTAAAGCAGTTATAAATCATCACAATACCTGGATGGCTTTCTGGACAGTTTACAGCTATTAAAGTATAATAAAATGTAACAAAAATTTCAATGGACATTCCAAACAAATTCAATAAATAAAACCATCAATTCCATCACCACGGATACCAACTGTGCTGACCTCATACAGTGTCTACATTGGACTCATTTTCTACATTTGTAGAAATGTAGTGTCTACATTGGACTCATTTTCTCATTTGTAATAGGCACCTATTACAATTTAAAAGTCTATAAATCAAAACACCAGCTTACATACCTACTCATTTTCTGTTAGCTTCCCTTTATCTGTAGGGCTGCTAGGAAGGAAGATCTCTTTCTCTTAGAAATAGACAGCAAGATCAACTTCCCATCAGAATAAGATCCAGGGGCTTAGAAAATGGAAGTGGGCAAGCTCTGAACACAGAGTTGGACACCCAGCCTGGAATGTGGATTTCTTGCACTCATTCCTGCCTGTGGAGAGAAGGCTGTCAGGAGTAGAATGTGCAGGGCAAGCAATGGACAGGTTGTAGACAGGGACATTTTCTGTTTTTCTGTTAGCATTTCTCTTTCAATAGGGCTGCTAGGAAGGATGCTCCATATGTCAGAAACAGAGAGCAAGCTTGGGATGCCATCTGAATGCCTGCTGCATCAACTACATTGGGCTCACTGTATCCTTTCAGGATCTGGCTGTCTTCTTTTCGCAGACTGCCTGCCATGCTTGCCCATGGCTTGGGATATGAGCCCAGCTGAGAGGAAGTCCAGCAATGCACATAGAGCTTCTGGTGCATGAGCAGTTACCATCCACAGCACATGGAACACACACTTGCATGCATCCACATACAAAGGCAGTAAGGGACACTGCTTGTGCAATGTGTGGTTCAGGCTTGCTTCTATGTGGGTGCTCATGCAAACTCTCAGTGCACTCAGTGCCCTGTCAGAGCCATGGTTGGGAAGAAGTGGGCTGCAATCCAGGAGTCGAGGCAAGGACACCTGAGTGAGTCCCACTCACAAAGCAGATTCCTTACACGTCCCTAGGTGAGGAATTTGTACCTGCTCTTTATTTTTCCTGAATAAAGCATCCATTGCCTGAAATGTGTTCTAAGATTATATGAACAGAAGGCTAAGGTCTGTTTGTTCAGTGTGTGCACTTCAAACCCCGCAAAGATCCCATACTTGTCAATGGAAGTATGACCCTCCATTGAAGGATCCAGGTGAGGTTTCATTATTCATGGTATGTTCTTCTTGGGGGCAGCAGGTACCTGGTCATCCCTAAGAAAAGTCCTCACAACCTCTGAAATGAACTCACGCTTCTATGGATTGACCTGCCCATGGATGTAAATTAAGACCATCTACTGAGTCTTGTGAACTGCAGAAAGAGATCGATGCTTCCAACGGATATATCCAAAGTATGTGTGTGTTCTGTGTCATTAATTTTGTTTTAGTGTTTTTGGATTAAATTAGCATCACAGTTCTTAATGAACTAGAAAAATTACCGCAGCATTAATGAATATCTCTTGAGGTAGAAAGTGAGTTGCTTGAGAATAAATCAATAACAGAGGGAATCAGGTGTTCCTTCATAAGCCACTGAAACAGAAGAAGCCCGAGCAAGTGTGCTCGAAGTGCCCAGTGAACCTCACTTCATGAAGCATCAGAGAAAGATACAGTACAGCATGTTCTCTGGACCGCAAGCTATGCAGTTAATATGTCGTACAGCAGAAAGGTATTCATGAGGTTGATGCTCTCTTTAAAATATACATGGATAATATAAGTCAGTAAGTTTTCTGAAGAAAGGGTTTCATTTTGACTGATAAATATGAGGGTAAAATTCATGTTAGCTCAGGCACAGTGTATGCAGCAGAAATAGCTCAATAGAACCTTGTTTCTCTCTGCCTGTTAGTGTATGAAATGCTATGAATTACAAAGTTTAGGTTACAGTGAATAGAATAAATTGTAACTGAGTGAAAGGGAAAACCTTGAGGTTATGAAAAATGTTGTCAGACCTCCTCATCCTTCTAATGGCCATTCAATGACATGACAGGAAGAAAGTAAGAGCACTCTTCTGAGGGTCTGGGAGGAGTGAGTATTGCTGTATTTGGTCACAGGTTGCTTCCTAGGGGGTGTTAGATTGGCATGATTTCCAAAATTGGTCATTTCAACTCTGAAAATGAATGAGTTACTTTAGGTTGCCTTAAAGATTTGGAAAATGAATGTGTTACTTTGGATGTCTCTTAGGATTACTAATGTGTTGATACGTTTTCTCTCTGATTTCTCCCAGACTTAGAGGCATAGAGGGCATCATGCAGAAAAATAAAACGGGTATCAAAGAGTTCATCCTGCTTGGTTTTGGGGAACCACAGAGTCTACACACCTTCCTCTTCTTGATTTTTCTCCTGATCTACATTGTGACCCTGATTGCCAACTTCCTCACTGTTCTTCTGATAGTGACTGCTCGCCACCTGCACACACCCATGTACTACTTCCTGGGAAATTTGTCCTGCTTGGAGATCCTATATAGCTCTGCCATCCTGCCAAAGACAATGGCCAGTTTCTGGACTGGGGACAAAGCCATCTCCCTCAGGGGATGCATGCTGCAATTTTATTTCTTCTCTTTTCTGGTCTGCACAGAATGTTATCTGCTCGCTGTGATGTCTTATGATCGTTTCTTAGCCATATGCAAACCTCTGCATTATGCCAGAATTATGGATGGGAAACTCTGTCTCTCTTTGGCAGGTGGCTCTTGGATCAATAGCATTGTGTTTATCTCTATATATTTGCCTTTTATGTTAGAGTTGCACTACTGTGGTTCCAATACAATTGATCATTTTTATTGTGAGTCCTTTGCATTGATAAAACTCTCATGCAGTCACATCAGAATTCTTCCCCTTGTTACTGTCATCCTGGCTTTTCTGTTCAGCTTCCCTCCCTTCCTTTTGACACTCATCTCCTATGTATATATCATACACACCATCCTGAAAATCCCATCCATCACGGGGCGGCAGAAGGCCTTTTCCACCTGCTCCTCTCACCTGATTGTTGTGTGTCTTTTCTATGGAGCCATCATTATTGTCATATCATATTATTTGATACCAAAAGTGGAAGTAGTGAGAGACCTTAGCAAAATGTTTTCTTTGCTGTACACAGTTTTTCCTCCGATGGCCAACCCCCTGATCTATACCCTGAGAAACAAAGATGTCAAGGACATTCTCAGAAAGGCTGCTGGGAAGATCATGAGAAACCCTGTTTGAATCATGCATTCAAAGAAATTCCTCTTACAACAGTGTCTGCTTTACTAGGACTATTAGTGTCTCTGGACTTCAGACAGTGCTAAATGTACTTTTGAATGAAATGTTTTTTAGGAATGCAGAAATGATTGTTTTTAACTAGATAGTCCTTTTAGAAGAATTGCTTAGGAGATATATAGTTGCAGCCTGAATCAGTTTATACCTGACTTGAGGAAACTGGGGGTGGGGGGTTATTAAGTTTTTCTTTTGATGTGAACTTTCCTAATTTTGCAATTTTAAGCAGACATGAAAATTTGAAAACTCACTTATCCTTCACTAATATTTGCCCTTCTCAGAATTATATAATGCATTTTCAAATTAAACCATTCATACAAAACTGTGCTGTTTGGTGGACATGCTAATCAGTTTTATATAATAATAGGAAAAGCACCTGGGAAAATGATTATATTAGGTCATCCTGTGAAGAAAGTGCATAGATTAGGAAAGAAATAATTCAAAAAATCATGCATATTCATGTGTGTGTGTTTCTGTATGTACCTTCTAATGCCTTTCTTGAAATCCTTCTAATGCCTTTCTTGTTGTATGCTCCCAATGTGATTTATAGAAATGCCTCTGTTCATTTATACATTTTAGGCGGCAAAGCACTCTACAGTATATTTGCAAAGGCAATATTGTCTACAGAATGCATAGAGAAGAGAAAATGAACACTAAAATCATACGCATTCTAGTTTAATAAATGAATCAACAAATCTGATACTATAGTGATGGTTATGAACATTCACTATTTAAAGAAAGGACTATGTATCAAAGTACTTCTCATTTACTACATACAGGAACAAAATTCGGTTATTGCAAAGTTTTCTTTTTCACATAATACGTTGAGAAGGACCATATATCACCTGACGAAGGGTCCACCTGGACCAGCATTCTGTCCATGTGGTGACCACCAGGAGCCCATGGCAAACCCATGAGCAGGACCGAATGCAACAGCAGCCTCCTGCCCACACCTCTGAGCATCGGGAATATATATGGGCATAAATCCTCTGATACTGGAGGTAAAAATGAAGCCATCAGAGCTAGTACACACTACTTCATGAGAAGGGGCCATCTCCTCCACGAATGTGTCCAAGCCTCTTTTCTTACCATCCACATTATTGGATGCATTTTGCGGAAGTGAATCCCACCATGAACTGAATGACAAAGACTTTTATAAACGGTTGGACTTCCAAAGGTCCAACCAAGCAGCTCCACAGGATAATCCTGGGTCCTAATACTGTGTGAAGGCAAGACAATATCTCCTGTCTTCTTTTACTACTTCATGATCAGCTTTGTACGCACCTGGAATGTGAATTTCTTGGAACACTTCCTGCCCATGCAGAGTTTGCTGTCATAAGTCTACTGTACAGGGCAACTGATGGAGAGCTAGTAGAAAGGGAGTTCTCCATTGAGTTCAGCCTTTTGTATACCAACACAATAGCCACATGACTTTCTGGACAGTTTACAGCTATTAAAGTACAATAAAACATAACATAAAAATCCATGGACAGTATAAACTAATTCAAGAAATAAAACCATTACTCCACCAGCAGAATTACCAACTGTGTTGACATCATACAATGTCTGCATTGGACACATTGTATATTTTAAGACACCTATTACAATTTTACTATGTATAAAATAAAATACCAACTTAAATACCAACTCATTTTCTCTTAGCTTCTCCTTATCTTCAGGGGTGCTAGGAAGGAAGCTCTGTATCTCTCAGAAACAGACAGCAAGATTACGATCCCATCTGAAAAAAAACCAGGGACTTTGAAAATGGAAGTGGGTAAGCTTGAAACACAGAGCTGGACATCCAGTCTGAAATGTGAATTCTTTGCATGCCTTCCTGCCCATGCAGAGGTGGCTGACAGGAGTCTAGTGTCAGGACAACTGATGGACAGGTTGTTGAAAGGGACATTCTCTCTTTTTCTCTTTGCTTTTCTCTTTCTGTAGGGCAGTTAGAAAGGAAGCTCTGTATCTCAGAAACGGAGAGCAAGATTGGGATGTCATCTGAATTCCTGCTGCATGAACTACATTGGGATGGTCCACCACTGGAACGCTACCAATGTTCACAGAGCTTGGGGTGCACAGGCAGTAAACTTCCACAGCACATGCAGCTCACACACACATCCATGCATGAAGACTGCAAGGGACACTGCTTGTGTGGTGTGTGCATGGGTCTTGAGTCCATGTGGGTGCTCATGCAAGCACTCCAGGCACCCTGTGCCATCTCAGACCCATGGCTTGGAAGATGTGGGCTGCTGTCTGTGTAGGTGACATGATGGCACCTGAGTGGGAAACAGCCCCAGATCAGATTCCTCCCACATTCCTAGCTGAGGGTTTTGCACCTGCTCTATATATTTTCCTGAATAAAGCTTTCATTGCTTTCTATGAATTTTGTGCCTAGAGGTATGTGAAGCTGAGGTATGTTCCCTCAGGTTGTGCACTTCAAAACCCAGGAAAGGTCCCAAACTCATCAATGGTGATGCAGCATGTATGATGAATGATGCAAGGGAATTTTCATTATTAACAGTATGTCCTTCTTGGGGCAGCATGTGCCAGGTAACCCCTCAGGAATATGCTTGCAACCTCTAAAATGAACTCACTCTTCTATGAATCGATCTGCCCATTGATGTATATTAAGACCATCCATTGAGTCTTCTGTAATGCACAAAGATATCCATGCTTCCAGTCAAGATATTCAAAAGTATGTGTATGTACTATGTTATTTGTTTTGTTTTAGTGTGTTTGGATTAAATTGAATTCTTAATGAACTTGCAACACTTACCTCATCACTAATGAATATCTCTTGAGACAAAAAGTGAGTTCCTTGAGAATAAATCAATAACAGAGCTACTCTGATATAAGTCACTGAAACAGAAGTTCCCTATGATCCTCAGTTGATGATGAAGAAGACAAAGATACGGTACAACATGTTTTCTGAGTCCTAAGTTATGTTAGTTAATACAACATGCAGGAGATAGAAATTTATGAGGTTGATGCTCACTTGAAAATGTACATGGTTAAATATACTACAAGTGAGTAAAATGGTACTCTGAAGAAAGGGTTCCATATTGATCAGGGACTCTGCATGCAGACAGAAGTTTCTCAATAGAACCTTGTTTCTCCCTGCCTGTCAGTTCTATAAATTACAAAGTTTTAGTTACACTGATTAGAATGAACTGCAACTGTGTGAAAGGGAAAACCTTGAGCATACGAATAATGCTGTCAGACCTCCTCATCCTTCTACTGGCCATTCAAAATGACATGACAGAAAGGCAATAAGAGCACTCTTCCGAGGATCTGGAAGAGTGAGCAAAGCTGAAGCTGGTAAAACGGTGATACCTTGTGGGTGCTAGATTGGCTTATACACATGATTTCAAAAATTGGTCTTTTCAAATCTGAAAATGAATAGGTTACTTTAGGTTGCCTTACCAATTTTGAAAATGAAAATGTTACTTTGGATGTCTTGCATGATTACTAATCTGTTAAACTGATTTCTAATCTGATTTCTCCCAATCTTATGTATACTTGGCATAGAGGATATCATGCAGAGGAACCAGACGGACAATACAGAGTTCATCCTGTTGGGTTTTGGGGAAACACAGAGTCTGCACACATTCCTCTTCTTGGTATTTCTTGTGATCTACATTGTGACCCTGATTGCCAACTTCCTCACTGTTCTTCTGATAGTGACTGCTCGCCACCTGCACACACCCATGTACTACTTCCTGGGAAATTTGTCCTGCTTGGAGATCCTATATAGCTCTGCCATCCTACCCAAGATGGTGGCTAGTTACTTGACAGGAGACAAAACCATCTCTCTTAGGGGATGCATGGTGCAATTTTATTTCTTCTCTTTTCTGGTCTGCACAGAATGTTATCTGCTCGCTGTGATGTCTTATGATCGTTTCTTAGCCATATGCAAACCTCTGCATTATGCCAGAATTATGGATGGGAAACTCTGTCTCTCTTTGGCAGGTGGCTCTTGGATCAATAGCATTGTGTTTATCTCTATATATTTGCCTTTTATGTTAGAGTTGCACTACTGTGGTTCCAATACAATTGATCATTTTTATTGTGAGTCCTTTGCATTGATAAAACTCTCATGCAGTCACATCAGAATTCTTCCCCTTGTTACTGTCATCCTGGCTTTTCTGTTCAGCTTCCCCCCCTTCCTTTTGACACTCATCTCCTATGTATATATCATCCACACCATCCTGAAAATCCCATCCATCATGGGACAGCAGAAGGCCTTTTCCACCTGCTCTTCTCACCTGATTGTTGTATTCCTTTTCTATGGAGCCCTTGTTATTGTCTACTTGATACCAAAAGTGGAAGGTGTGAGAGACCTTAGCAAAATATTTTCTCTGTTCTATACAGTTTTGCCTCCAGTAGCCAACCCTCTCATCTATACCCTGAGAAACAAAGATGTCAAGGACATTCTCAGAAAGGCTGCTGGGAAGATCCTGAAAAACCATGTTTGAAGCATGCATTCAAAGCAGTTCCTCTTACAATGGTTTCTGCTTGACTAGGGCTATTGACTAGGGAATTCAGACAGTGCTAAATGTACTTTTGAATGAAGTTTTTTTAATAAATGCAGAAATGTTTGTTTTTAACTAGATAGTCCTTTACTATCTTACTTAAGAGATAAAGGGTTGCAGCCTGAATCAATTTTTTCAGACTTTAGAAAAACTGGGGCAGGGGGGCAAGAAATCTGTTGTGCTTTTCTTTTGATGTGAACTTACTTAATTTTGAGCCAGAATGCAAATTCTAAAACTCACTTATCCTTCACTAATATTTGCCCTTCACAGAATCAAATAATGCATTTTTCCACTCAAACCGCGCATACAAAACTGTGCATGTCAGTGAAAATACTAATCGGTTTTACAGACTATCAGGAAAAGCATCTGGGGAAATGTTCATATTAAGGAAAGGTGTTTACAAAGTGTATTGATTAG